ATACATCAAAGACTTACTGGGAATTACAACCATAGACACTACAGGCAGAATCACCCGATCAAATAATAAGGGAAATATCTATTTACCAGTTGGCAGACATAAAGACATATTAACTAAAGGCCCAATATGGACCTCGATTAGAATATGGAACTGCCTACAATTTAAAATAAAAAACTACAAAGACTTGGATACTTTTAAAATATTGTTTTTAAAAAACCAAAAGTATACAACTCTTAAGTCATGTAGCTCTAGGATTTTTACTAACATATAATGTCTTCTGCTTTATTCTTATTAATTAATTTTGTTATTTAAACTCACTTCATTTTTACCTCATTGTCATTTTAATTTCATAATTTATTCATCTTTTATTCATTAGAATAAAATTTCATTTTAACCCCCTAGAGGGCCATGTGTAAGATAAGTGTGCGCACTTAACATGTTTTACCCTCTTTAAATAAAGTTTATTATCATTATTATTATTATAAACGATCAGCAGCATAATGTGGCCAATTCTGCAAGTCGCTGTACAGAGCGTCTCCGGGAGATTGTACTGATGACTGCGGCGGTTGGAACTCTGGCCCGTCAGAACAATGCCTGAAATGATCGAAAACTTGATGATTGCCTTTTTTTCTTTTGATATTTTACCTGCGTATATATCACATCTTGAGATGTACTATCCGATTTACAAGAACATTGAGAACGTTCTGTTTAATACTTATGGCCACATTTTAAATACAGTGAGAACCATTTGAATTTAAAAATCGATTTGATTTATACCAACGGAATCTAAATCAGAGGAGGCAACAGATGAAAATTTTGAATGATTAAAAAGAATCACTGATGCTGGGGTACAGTAAAAGCCTACATAAAGATTCCATGTTAAATGCGATCCCGCTGCGGGCTCCAACTTTTCCATACGCACTCCCTGCATACACGCCGATAGAAGTTATATCCTACGTCCGCCCAGTCTGGAAATAGCTAGTATTAGTAACATGACATCATACATGCACTTGTATGTCATAGTTTTAATACAACAACGTCACACTTATGTCACAGTACTGTCATTGGACTACAGGGTCATTTGGAATCTTTGTAGCTTACAACATTTGAAGCTACATGTATTTACTTGAATTTGTAACTTGGACTTGAGCGGTATTCTCGAAACTCTTGTAATTTTAAGACTTACAAACTTTAGTAACTTTTCGCGTATCTTTCGGGGCATTTTATCGACATATTCCAATCCCGTTCTTGGTGTCGATAAAATGCTTATCTAGACATTAAAGTAGTTTAACATACATCTAAATGATTCAAAAAGGGGTGAAGCAACATGTTCTTTCAAGTTTCTTCGGAAAATCCACTCATATTGAATGTGCTTCCTCCAACATGCTAGCACAAGAATTGTATTTGGCTCCTCTTGTAAGATTCCCCCTGTTAGGATATCCCAAGATTACCGCTAGCACAAGCGCTTTTATTTATTAAATTTGCAATTCAAATGTTCAAGGATATTTCCCAGAGTAAGTAGGTAGAATTAAACACTCACCATGTTGTACAAATTTGACACCTTTGATGATAATACCCTTTTAGGACACCATTTGAAGACTTGTAAATAAGTTGACTCAATTTGTCAAAATGACATTTCGTTTGACACAGTAATGCAATATTTGTTCAGATCGATATATTTTATTATTTTATGTGTGTGGGTATAAAAGTGGAAAAAATATTTTTTCCTATACACCTTTGCCGTTATCATAAGGAGTGAGTAAATGCTATTTTCATGTCAATAAAAATGCAGCTGCAATTTCTATTGTACCTATGAGTAAAATGTTGACTACTGGAACCTGTACAAAAAAATAAAAAAAAGGGATTTTTAAGCAAATAAACAAGTAAAAATACTAATTGTTCTCACTGATGACTCAAACAAAATTTCATATTTGAGTGATGTATACTCACTGATAAGTAAAATTACCCTCACCTTCTGGATTTTTTTTCACCAACAGTAGCGATATGAAATGTAAATTTTACACAAGTCCCCATGTTCTTGTTTCATGCTGTCACCCTTCGCCCACTAATTATTTACGGTCTTACACACATTCTTTTGGGAAAAGATAAATCTTGAGGTTTCAGTGACTATATTAATTAACATTTACGCATACAGTATGTCATTTTATAATTTAAAAGCTGAAAAATTGGTTTCTCAAATTTCTCTTTTACCTGAGCACCCACAATCACTTTTTCAACGGCAATTTAATGGCACCATTTAGTACAAAACCCTAACAGTGATTCAGTGTTTTTGTTTTTTTTTTTTTTTTTTTTAATCGCTTAAATCAGAAAAAAGATGCATTATTGAATAATTAGATGCAGGAAAAACTCATTTTCAGTATCTGGACGATAATAAAGGATTACAATACCCTTAAGTGTTGTGTAGAAATTTTAATAATAAAATCATTGAAATGTGAGCTTTTGATACGAATTGCTTCGCAGAAGGGCAGATTAGTTCTTTTAGACATAATTTAACTTTAGTTCTTTTTATGTTTCATCACCAGTGTATAAAAATTTATTCATATGAAATATTACTTGTCTTTTTTTCCTGTGATATGTACTGCTTATACGTAACTACTATCGCAAAGGCAGATAGAGGCTTTCTTCTGGGTCTTCCGGAAGACGGTCAGAAGTTTTAAAGTTTACGTCGACGGGCATCTAAACATTTCTATCAGATCAATAATCTTCAAGATTTCGTGGACGATCTTCTTACTTTGGCTGTGACGGTATTCCGTGACTTTCTTACTTACTTCGATGACAAGAGATGTCATGAGACTTTGGTCGCCTCGAGTGCTTTAGATCATATCAAAATCTTGAGGCCCGCGCATTTTCGTGAAAGAAAACGTGCTTGAGGAAAAACTCGAAAAAGAGCGGTAATATATAAGAATAAATAAAATATTGGGAACAGCCCTGACAAAATGTTCAGTAATCCTAATTCGTAACACGAAATAAAGTGTTGTGTGTTTGGGAATTTATTTAATTTGTTTCTCATATTCTTCTGATATTTCAACCGAAAGATGTATAATTTGAAACCCAAGCACTGCGTCTTTACACGTTTTCCGCTGGTGTAACAGGAATGGAAGTCGCTAGGAACCGTTGTCCGTTCCCCATTACGTTGCACATTGACATTCGTCCCATTTACCTACTAGCCCCAATACTCCAACTAACCCTAACCTGTACTACACAGATGGGACCCCAGACATCCAATCCTAGGACTACCATTCCTGTCACAAGGCCATCATGGAATTAGTCAGCACTGCTTTGAAGCCCTGTCGGCCATATTTAGTCCGCGGATCATCTGTTCTGAATGGTCTCTAATTCTATGAAAAAGTACTGGTAACTGATAATTGAGAGAGGTACTATTCGGGGCTGACTGGTAGATGTATGACCTAAAATAAACCTATTTAGCAATGAGCAGTAATGATAAAAGTGTTGTTTCCTCTTTTATTTCCTCGTATTTATAACTTTTGAAAAAAGATTACAAATGTATCCATTAGTATCAAGTAATGTATGATGCAATATTACATAATGACATGGTTTTTCTTTAATGGTCACTATGGAGGCAATGCCCAAAATCGGGTTTTCTTCAATTTGATATAATGCTTTACGGTATAATGACCATCAATTTTTAATAATAAAATAAAAGTATCATGGATATACAGAAAATGTGACTAGCGAAAGTCTTAAAGAACAACGGAAGTTGCACCTTGAAATGCAGATATGTTAAAAACTAAATTTTAACAAAAACTGTTTGACTTCCAGAAAAAGTAACCAAACAGAGCGATTTTCAAATTAAAGCTGTATTTCAGTCCTATGTTTCTTTCCTGTAAGTCCAAGAAGAGTTAAAGACATGGTTTTTTAAAAGTCACTATAGCGGCAGAGCCCAAAATAAGCTTTTCATCAATTTTGATGCAATATTACATAATGCTTTTAAGCTATTAAAATAGCATGAAAATATACTGAACAAAAATATAAACGCACGAAACTAAAATGGTCAGTTTAAATAGATAATTATGAAATATGACCAGGTTGATGGTTTATTTGTGAACTGATGGATTTGTTTTGATCAAGTATAGTGGTCTGGTTTCACTTGGCCGCTCCCCGTGAGTATACTCAAAGGTTCAGTTTTTCACCCATAAGACTAATGGAGCATGAGGGAGTGAAAGTCAATCTGTATGACCAATACACAGACACTCCTTACAGTCTAGGCAATAAAACGGCACACCAAAATGTGCATTTCTGTCACTTGTCAACATGCCACAGATGTCTGAAATCATGAGGGAGCGTGCCATCGGCATGCTCATTGCTGGCTTGTTGGTAACAGAAGTTGCAGCATGCCTGAATGTGCATCATTCCACTGTCAGCCGTCTGAGAACACGCTTCAGAGACACTGGAAGCACTATAGGAACCACCCACATGCCTGCCGCCAACGTGCTACCACACCCAATATGTCGCCCATCGAACACCTGTGGGATGTTCTGGATCAGCGTTTTGGCCATCATGTCTCAGCTCCCGAGAATGTTCACTAACTGCGAGCACAACTCCAGGAGGAATGGGATGATATCCCTCAGGCCACTATTGACAACTTGGTGATATCCATGCGCCGTCGGTGTACTGCTCTGCGCGAAGCTAATGGTGGCCATACTCGTTATTAGTGTCTGTGAACTCAGGATGTTGACACCCATGGTGTAGTTGATCCCCTATCTCTTGGACTGTGCACTTAAACATCCTGTAATGGTATCAAAGTGATGTCTATTTGTTGAGGAAAATATGCTGTTATTGTTGGCTATATACTTTAGTTCAATACACGAAAATAAATCAACATATTCTTTTGTGCGTTTATATTTTTGTTCAGTATAGTTAAAAATTAATAATTTTGACAAATATAGTACAATGTTAGTGAAACTTGTACAGAAACCATTTGACAAGATCCATAATCTTGCCACATATCATGTATTGTACTCATGGAAACAGCCATGATCTTGCTGCTGTCTTTACAGCTGCCTGCTTTTCCTGTAGGAATAGCCATGACTGAACAGGTACACTCAGCTCACCAAGAAGCCATTACTGTGTGGAAAGGGTCACCTGAAAAAGAAGACAGAAGAATGGATTTTTGAAATGACTAATATTAATTTATGAACGACAGAAGCCTTACAGGCAACCAGAGCAAGTTTAAAGAAAAATATAAACCTATGTTGTACTGTCAAGCATCCAAATAGTTATGGCAGAAATAAGTATTGTGGTGAATGACCTGTCACAAAGTCCATGGATGAAAATAGTTAAACGTTAATAATTTTTTATAAATATAGTTCAATGTTTTTGAAATTTGTACAACTGAAGCTTCAAACCTGTAAAAACCTGAGATAAGCTTACCAACTGACTGTGTGTAAAATGTATTTTTTTTAAACAATAAACTTGGGAAAACTGCAAATCGCATTGAAAAATCTGGTAAATTCCATGGATGAAAATAGTTAAACATTAATAATTTTGGCAAATGAAGTCCAATGTTTCTGAGATTTGTACAACTGCAGCTTCAAACCTGTAAAAACCTGAGATAAGCTTACCAACTGACTGTGTGTAATTAAAGTGAATTTTTTTCAAACAATAAATTTGGGAAAACTGCAAATTGCATTGAAAAAGCTGGTAAATTCCATGGATGAAAATAGTTAAATGTTAATTATTTCGGCATTTATAGTTCAATGTTTGTGAAATTTGTACAACTAAAGCTTCAAACCTGTAAAAAACTGAGATAAGCTTATCAACTGACTGAGTGCAATTAAAGTGTATTTTTTTTTTAACCATAAATTTGGGAAAACTACAAATTGCATTGAAAAATCTGGTAAATTCCATGGATGAAAATAGTTAAATGTTAATTATTTTCACAAATACAGTTTAATGTTTGTGAGATTTGTACAACTGAAGCTTCAAACCTGTAAAAATCTGAGATAAGCTGATCAACTGACTGTGTGTAATTGAAGTTTATTTTTTTAAACAATACATTTGGGAAAACTGCAAATTGCATTGAAAAAGCTGGTAAATTCCATGGATGAAAATAGTTAAATGTTCATAATTTTTACTAATATAGTTCAATGTTTGTGAAATTTGTAGAAATGAAGCTTCAAACCGGTAAAAACCTGAGATAGGCTTATCGACTGACTGCGTGTAATTGAAGTGTATTTGTAGGATATTTCAGATAACTGAAAATAAAATTTTAAAAACAAGAAATTCCCCTTAGATATAAATAAATAAATAAATAAATGTTTCAATATTGCAAGAAATCATTTAGTCTCAAATGAAACGTCAAATGTGAAGATTTGTGTTTGTCTGTGTAAAATGTGGATAATTACCCATAACTCTCAGCTGGAAAACTATATATACCCATTTCAGCCTTCACATTCCTACCAATACCAGACACAGTTTCCTCTCTACAATGCATTTCTGGAATCAGGCTGTTGGCACACCATTTGACAATGTCCTTAATTTTGCCACATATCATGTATTGTACTCATGGAAACAGCCATGATCTTGCTGCTGTCTTTACAGCTGCCTGATTTTCCTGTAGGAATAGCCATGACTGAACAGGTACACTCAGCTCACCAAGAAGCCATTACTGTGTGGAAGGGGTCACCTGTAAAAGAAGACAGAAGAATGGATTTTTGAAATGACCTACATTATATTATGAAAGAAAGAAGCCTTACAGGCAACCAGAGCAAGTTTTAAGAAAAATATAAACCTATGTTGTACTGTCAAGCGTCCAAATAGTTTTGGCAGAAATAAGTGTTGTGGTGAATAACCTGTCACAAGTGGTCGCACTTGTTTCTGCCCAGACTGGTATATTCATACATTTTTAATTATTTTTAATGTAAACTTGATCACAACAATTAAATTTTCAGTGAAATGTGTACAAATAAAGTTCAACAACTGTAATAATATGAGATATAACTAACAGTTTATATATTACTGAGTGTAAGTAAAGTGATTATTTTTTAACAATATATTTGAGAAAACACATTGGCAAATTCCATGGATGAAAATAGTTAAACGTTAATAATTTTTACAAATACAGTTCAATGTTTGTGAAATTTGTACAACTGAAGCTTCAAACCAGTAAAAACCTGAGATAAGCTGATCAACTGACTGTGTGCAATTGAAGTGTATTTTTTTAAACAATAAATTTGGGAAAACTGCAAATTGCAATTAATAAACCTGGTAAATTCCATGGATGAAAATAGTTAAACATTAATAATTTTTACAAATATAGTTCAATGTTTGTGAAATTTGTACAACTGAAGCTTCAAACCTGTAAAAACCTGATATAAGATTATCAACTGACTGAGTGTAATTAAAGTGTATTATTTTAAACAATAAATTTGGGAAAACTGCAAATTGCATTGAAAAAGCTGGTAAATTCCATGGATGAAAATAGTTAAACATTAATAATTTTGGCAAATGAAGTCCAATGTTTCTGAAATTTGTACAACTGAAGCTTCAAACCTGTAAAAACCTGATATAAGATTATCACATGACTGTGTGTAATTGAAGTTTATTTTTTTAAACAATAAATTTGGGGAAACTGCAAATTGCATTGAAAAAGCTGGTAAATTCCATGGTTGAAAATAGTTAAATGTTAATAATTTTTACTAATGTAGTTCAATGTTTGTGAAATTTGTACAAATGAAGCTTCAAACCGGTAAAAACCTGAGATAGGATTATCAACTGACTGTGTGTAATTGAAGTGTATTTGTAGAATATTTGAGATAACTGAAAATAAGATTTTAAAAACTAGAAATTCCCCTTAGATATAAATAAATAAATAAATGTATCAATATTGCAAGAAATCATTTAGTCTCAAATGAAACGTCAAATGTGAAGATTTGTGTTTGTCTGTGTAAAATGTGGATAATTACCCATAACTCTCATCTGGAAAACTATATATACCCATTTCAGCCTTCACATTCCTACCAATACCAGACACAGTTTCCTCTCTACAATGCATTTCTGGAATCAGGCTGTTGGCACACCATTTGACAATGTCCTTAATCTTGCCACATGTATTGTACTCATGGAAACAGCCATAATCTTGCTGCTGACTTTATTTTGTAGCTGCCTGCATTTCCTGTAGGAATAGCCATGACTGAACAGGTACACTCAGCTCACCAAGAAGCCATTACTGTGTGGAAAGGGTCACCTGAAAAAGAAGACAGAAGAATGGATTTTTGAAATGACTAACATTATTTTTTGAAAGACAGAAGCCTTACAGGCAACCAGAGCAAGGTTTGAGAAAAATATAAACCTATGTTGTACTGTCAAGCGTCCAAATAGTTATGGCAGAAATAAGTGTTGTGGTGAATGACCTGTCACAAGTGGTCGCACTTGTTTCTGCCCAGACTGGTACATTCATACATTTTTAATTATTTTTAATGTTAACTTGATCACAACAATTAAATTTTCAGTGAAATGTGTATACAAATAAAGTTCAACAACTGTAATAATATGAGATATAACTAACAGTTTATATATTACTGAGTGTAAGTAAAGTGATTATTTTTTAACAATATATTTGAGAAAACACATTGGCAAATTCCATGGATGAAAATAGTTAAACGTTAATAATTTTTACAAATACAGTTCAATGTTTGTGAAATTTGTACAACTGAAGCTTCAAACCAGTAAAAACCTGAGATAAGCTGATCAACTGACTGTGTGCAATTGAAGTGTATTTTTTTAAACAATAAATTTGGGAAAACTGCAAATTGCAATTAAAAAACCTGGTAAATTCCATGGATGAAAATAGTTAAACGTTAATAATTTTTACAAATATAGTTCAATGTTTGTGAAATTTGTACAACTGAAGCTTCAAACCTGTAAAAACCTGATATAAGATTATCAACTGACTGTGTGTAATTAAAGTGTATTTTTTTAAACAATAAATTTGGGAAAACTGCAAATTGCATTGAAAAAGCTGGTAAATTCCATGGATGAAAATAGTTAAACATTAATAATTTTGGCAAATGAAGTCCAATGTTTCTGAAATTTGTACAACTGAAGCACCAAACCTGTGAAAACCTGATATAAGATTATCAACTGACTGTGTGTAATTAAAGTGTATTTTTTAAACAATAAATTTGGGAAAACTGCAAATTGCATTGAAAAATCTGGTAAATTCCATGGATGAAAATAGTTAAACGTTAATTATTTTCACAAATACAGTTCAATAATTGTGAGATTTGTACAACTGAAGCTTCAAACCTGTAAAAATCTGAGATAAGCTGATCAACTGACTGTGTGTAATTGAAGTTAATCTTTTTAAACAATACATTTGGGAAAACTGCAAATTGCATTGAAAAAGCTGGTAAATTCCATGGATGAAAATAGTTAAATGTTAATAATTTTGGCAAATGAAGTCCAATGTTTCTGAAATTTGTACAACTGAAGCTTCAAACCTGTAAAAATCTGAGATAAGCTTATCAACTGACTGTGTGTAATTGAAGTTTATTTTTTTAAACAATACATTTGGGAAAACTGCAAATTGCATTGAAAAAGCTGGTAAATTCCATGGATGAAAATAGTTAAATGTTAATAATTTTGGCAAATGAAGTCCAATGTTTCTGAAATTTGTAAAACTGAAGCTTCAAACCTGTAAAAATCTGAGATAAGCTTATCAACTGACTGTGTGTAATTGAAGTTTTTTTTTTTAAACAATACATTTGGGAAAACTGCAAATTGCATTGAAAAAGCTGGTAAATTCCATGGATGAAAATAGTTAAATGTTAATAATTTTGGCAAATGAAGTCCAATGATTCTGAAATTTGTACAACTGAAGCTTCAAACCTGTAAAAATCTGAGATAAGCTTATCAACTGACTGTGTGTAATTGAAGTTTATTTTTTTAAACAATACATTTGGGAAAACTGCAAATTGCATTGAAAAAGCTGGTAAATTCAATGGATGAAAATAGTTAAATGTTAATAATTTTCACAAATACAGTTCAATGTTTGTGAGATTTGTACAACTGAAGCTTCAAACATGTAGAAATCTGAGATAAGCTTATCAACTGACTGTGTATATTTGAAGTGTATTTTTTTAAACAATAAATTTGGTGAAAATGAAAATCGCATTGAAAAATCTGGTAAATTCCATGGATGAAAATAGTTAAATGTTAATAATTTTTGAAAATATATTCCAATGTTTGTGAAATTTGTACAACTGAAGCTTCAAACCTGTAAAAATCTGGGATAAGCTTTTCCGTTGACTGTGTGTAATTGAAGTGTATTTTTTTAACAATAAATTTCAGCAAAGTGAAAATCACATTGAATAGAAAGGTAAATTCCATGGATGAATATAGTTTAATGTTAATAATTTTGGCAAATGAAGTCCAATGTTTCTGAAATTTGTAAAACTGAAGCTTCAAACCTGTAAAAATCTGAGATAAGATTATCAACTGACTGTGTGTTATTGAAGTGTATTTTTATTAAACAATAAATTTGGGAAAACTGTTACCAATAAGATTAGGAATTTGTTTAAATATCTTGCAAATTTGGAAAGTTACAACATCATTTTAATTCATGAGCATGATTGAAGTAGAGACCTGATTTGTACAGAACCGAATGAGTCGACATGAATTCCATTCACTTCACAAGCTTAACTGTCATAATTATATGATAAGGCCACACTTTTTTAATTTTATGGATGACATCCTGCGCGCGCACCGATTTTCATCCGTTCTCAAAAAAAAAAAAAAAATCACCCCTTCCCCCCCCCCACCCATCGAAGTCAGTTGTCGCAAACGCCGGAAAATGTGCTTTCTGCGCATGCGTATTACTGCCACGTGGAAATATGCCCGCTTTGCCATCAAATTCATCTCTAGGATTACTTTCAAATTACAGGACAATTAATTATATAAAGTCATAAAGGGAACGGGGCCGTTGTTTTGGATTGTTATGCCCGGAAAATTTCAGTGATATTCTGTCCAAAGCAACACATACCAGGTTTTTTTATAGCGAAAAAAAAAAGGGTCGACAGGGCGTCGAGGTATTTGGTGGGCTGTAGGTCGGTCAGGCCACCTGACAGTTTGGCTGCTTCATGTGAGTCGAAGTAGACCAAATGGCATCGACTGAATGACCTTTTATAGAGTTGGTAGTATTAAGCATATCTTTGCATCATTTTTTAACATTTCTGTGTAGTGTTCATAATGCTTTAATATTCTGAGAGTACAAATAAAGACATGCTGTTTGTTTGATATTTGTTTTATTGATTGTTATACCAACAAAATGCATGAAATAACCTTAAATAGATTGGGTAATATGCAGCATGTCTATCAGGCCCGTAGCCAGCAATTTCAAAAGGGGGGGGGTCTTTTTTTGAAAAAGTGGACAATTTTCCATAAAAACTTAATGTATCTAGATCAAATTTTACCCAGAGTGGACCTTTTCCCATCAAAAGGGGTGGTTCTTTCGAACCCCCTGGCTACGGGCCCGTCTATTCATGACTTTTTTTACCTTTCTACGAAGTATTCACAATGCTTTAATATTTTGAGAGCATGGATAAAGACATATTGTTAGTTTGATGCGTGTTTCTGTGGTAAATTTGTGTTTCCAGCTGTGTACTGCCAGTGTATGAAATTCAAGGAAATTACTAGCCAGACCGCCGGGCAGGTAACTCTGAAAAGTTACCAGCCCGGCCATGTAGTTACCTGCCCTAGTTATGATAACCCCTAGAGTTAAGAGAGGTATGCTGAGGGGGGTCTAGAATGCATTCTTGGGAGAGTAATTTGGAAATGAAAGGGCAATATCATGCCTTATGCATGGAAATTTAGAAATTGGTTGGAATTTCTACTGAATGATACCTTGTTTGTGTTGGATTTAGAGGGGGGACAGGGGGGTCCTGACGCCCCCCCCTTTCAATTTCTGCAAAAAAAAAAAAA